TAATATTTATATTAATAATTACTTTTTTTAATTATGATTATAGTAATTAATTGGTTGATTTCTCAATTATAATTATATTCTTCAATTCATACATAATTTATACTTAATTAAATGTTGTAATTGACTAAAATTTTATATTAACATTGATTAATTAATTAATTGATTATTAAATCATATATTTACACAATAATTTAATTAATTAGTAAATTATGATTAATTCATTCAATTACTTGATTACAATAATTATGATTATACTATTTAATTGACTTGTAAATTATGAAGATATTAAGTAATTGATTGGTAAATTATGATTATAGTGATTACTCGATTGGTTAATAACTTATAATTATATGCTTTAATTGATTCAAAATTGCTTAATTAATTAAAAAATAAAATTAATTACAATGATTATAATTGCTTGATTTAGTATTCATATTAACATATTTAATTACTAAGTTATCATTGGAAGACAATTGACAACGAAATTTGAGGGCAAAGTTGAGATTTCACCAGGTCAAAAGTACTTCAGATCTATTGGTAGCACCGTAGCACATACATTTTGTCAACAACCTTCCTCCCGGTCTTTCTTCACTCTGCCAAACTGAGCAAACTCAGCAACATTCCTTCTTCCATTTCATTTTAGAAGAAGAAGCAATGGAAGAAAATTTAGCAGGGACAAGTTTTGCCAAAATGACTCCCACCAAGGAACTGCATCTATCTTCTCAAAATCTAAATAGATGAGACTAAATTTAGTTAATTAGATCTTAGCTGATAAAAAAAATAGTCAATGAGACACCACCATAAAAGAAAAATGACTAAATGAGAATGGAAGATCCACAAAAAGAGTCAATATTTGTCACAATCTATTGTGAAATGAGCTGTACATCGTATTGCAAACTGACCTAAAAGGCTGAAAGCTGAGATTACTGCATTATCTCCAATAGTGACTGTCACCGTTGACTGCCAACAATAAAAGCAACTGGATTCAAATAACAGAATAACTTCAGAAAGTTTCTATTATTCATTAGACAAAGTGCAAGCGGCATTACCAGAAATGAACTACAAGCAAGTAGGAAGAAATGCAAAATGAAACCAGGAAAAGGACTCTTATATGTTTAAATTGGTTTTGGAAAGCATGTAGTAAATAGCTACTCATGAACCTTGTACCATTAGAAGAACTCCTATACAAAACATTTGTGAACTTATTACAAGAAGTTAAATAAGGAATCACATGGAGTTACATCAATGGAGTAGGCATTTATGCCAGTGATTGCTGCATCAATACGAGTAAAGGTGCAAATAAGGATTCCAACTTTGCACTTTTTTTTATTTAAGGATGTTAACTTTGTCAGTTTTTAAATAAGGATGTTAACTTTCAATTTTTTTCTAAATAAAGATGTTAACTTTGTCAGTTTCTAAATAAATATGTCAATTTTCAATATTTTCTATTTAAGGATGTCAACTTTTAACTTTTTATATTTAAGGATTAATTGAATAGTGATGTTGACGTGGCTAACATATTTTTTAGGTTAAATACCTAAATTGGTCCCTCAACTTTTATTTTTGAACCAATTCATCCTTGAACTTCAAAAAGTACCAAAAACGTCCTTCAACTTCAATTTTCAATTAATAAAATTATTTCCTAATTCATGGAAGAATTAAT